TCGGCGAGCGGGGACGGGGTCGGGTTCATATGGGCCAAGGCCTCGGGAGGTTGGGAAGAGGCTTCACTGGACGGTGGAGGAGAAGTCGGTTCTTCCTCGATCGGGGTCGGGGGCGGAGAAGAGTACTGCTTGGTTCTATCAGCCAAGACAACGACCACCAGCTTCTGATTCTTGAGGCAGTTGTCTTTGTTGCCACTTATGAAGTAGTAAGGGCCAGATTTCTCAAACTTGAAGATGGTGTGGCCATCTGAGAAGTGCTTTATGGGTGCTTCTGTGTTGCAGTTTTTGTAGTCGTCTTGCTTCACCAACAGTACTGAGTCTTGCCCAGCTTGGTAGTTGAACACTGTACAAATAATTAACAAAAACTTGTATTCACTTCTTTTTTTATTAGTTAAATTTTTTTATTAGTTAAAGCCTTCTGATTGAAACAATTTCAAACTTTTTACCTTTTTTTTAAGGCCAAGAATTAAACGTTTCTAGTTTGTAGTTTTGGAAATAATTTTAGTTCAATATAATATTCGACAGGTTTCTTTTAACCTTTTTTAAGGTTTGAAAAATAGTTAAATAATTCGACAAAAATATGATACGACCATCGAGTTAGAAGATCCTATATCATACTAATATTTTAGATGATATGATATCAATAATCAAAATTTGTATAAAAATTTTGGAAACAACAAAAATAAAAGCCCGTTTGGTAACGCTTATGTTTCTTGTTTCTAATTTTATTAAGAAACTTAAGCATTTTGTAACAAATTAATTATGCCTTTGTTTCTCTCTTTTTTTTTGAAACATTATCAAAATTGTATAGAAATTTTGGATCAAAGACAAATTTTTTGTTTCTTGTTTCCTGTTTCAAATTTGTTATAAAACACAAAGATAAATATTATTTGATCATTCTTGAATTATTTATGGGTGTTAGGGTTATACAATTCTATTTTTAATTTCTTTATTAGAAATGATGAAACAAAAACAAGTAACAATAACGTTACGAAAGGGTAGATAAATTTCTTGTTTTTTGTTCTATTTTCATTTGGTTCCAACCTACATAAAAATTTTGTTTTATGACTCTCATTCACGAGCGTTGGGGTTATAGAATTCTATTTTTATTTGTTAAAATAAACAAAACATTATCAAACGGCTCTTAGAAACGAAATTAAAGTAATTTCTGGTTCCACAAAAAAATATAATCAATTACCTAAGGAGTCTCCAGCTTGAAATCTACGTGTTTCAGCCCATTGATTAAAACTCTGAGCATTAGAATCTGAAGAAACACCCCAAAAACCCTTTGACCCTCCCACTTGAAACTCAACTCCACAGGCCTTCTGCAGCAGCAGCACCAGCATTACCCCAAAAACACATCCTTTGTTTTGGGAACAATAAACTCCAAAACTGCTCTTCTTACCCATCACACAGAGAAAACAGAGAAAAGAAGCAGCTCCAAAGCCTTCAACAATGGCAGTTTAATTCCTTAGATCTAGCTCAACAGCTTATTATTGTTAATATTGCAAGCTGAGGGAGCTTTTGTAGGCTAACTTTTTCCTTTTCCAAGCTGTAGCAGAGAAGCTTTTGCCAGCTTTTTTTTCTTTATTCTTTTGCTTTTTTTTGGCTTCTCTTTTTTGATTTTCTTGAGGGATAAATCAAGCATATATTTTTGCCTTGAGGTTTTGTTGATTGAGAGGGGAAAAAAAAGAAAAAAAATAAAACTTTGGGAATAATATGTAAACTTGGACTGTGGGATTATGCTTTCCCTTCACTATATTTCCAAGAATATTCATGTCTTCTTCTTTGGTTAAGGCTGTGGGATCGGGTGATTCTCAATTTTTTTTTTTTCTTTTTCTAAAGTCTCAAGCTATTCTGTCATCTGCAATCCCATTATTCAATGGTTAGTATAGGGCAAATTTTATGGAAAGGAGAGAGCTTTGAGGGTTTCTATTTGGAAACTTCATGGAGGAATTTCTTTTCGTCCCGAGATCGATTCTTCATCCAACGAGTATTTTTTACCATCTCATCTAAGAATGTGTTTGATTGGTGTGATTTGAAAATAGAAAATTCTGACAATAGAAATTTGAAAAAGGACTCAATTCGAAAGCTAGAGTTATTGTATTTTACAATGAAATGAGTTTATGTGACATCAAAATAGTATATTTATAAAAGTATATTTTCTATTTTTTATTTTTATCTGTAATTCTGCATTTTAACATTTTAAATTCAAAATTTTAAAATACCGAAAGCATATAAAATATAAAATAATATTATCTTCAAAATTTTTATTATTTAGATCACAAAATCTCAATTTTCAAAAACAAATTTGCCAAAACCACTAATGGGTAGGTGGTGGCATATCTTGGGCTCATGGCCATGGGGATATTACCCCTCCCTACAGGGTGCTTAGGGTTCATCTAGCCTTCAACACCCCAGTTGGAAACCTCTAGTGTAAGGCACATGACATCTATTCTAAATTATAGAGAGTGAATCCAATCAACAAATTATCAGAAAACAAGAAACGACAGAATCTGGATGGTATATATATCAAACAGCCCTCTAATCTATTCAACATAATTCATCATTTTTCAACCCTACATTTCAAATGCTTTAGAATCGTTCGTTTTATGGGAATTCAAGATTATCGTGAGACGGGAATTTGGATTTCCACGTTTGTTTTACGGTAATGTAAGATATTTGGATATCTCAGGATGCCCAGGTATCATAGGGTGCTCATAGCGAAGACATTCGAGTCGATTTGGATACCCTTTTGAAATGTGTTTCCATGATTCCCATGTCGAGAACATCCTATATTGACATTTTTGCCACTTCATTATTTTTTCATATATTTTCTTTTATCAATTTTCTTTAGTTTTATTTGTAATTTTATAATTTAAATAAATTAATGTACTATTGACTAATAAACAATTAAGTATATTTATGTATTACACGTACTTATAAAATAAACTTCAATTAAATTATATAATATCTCCCTTTACATTTAATATTTAGAATGACTTATTATGGATAACATCTATTATTTTAAATACATAATTTTAAAACAACATTTTTTTAACGACCAGCCTACCTTTGATATTCTTCTTCTTAAAAGAATATAATTTGATAATATAATAAATGAATTTCACCAAATATAACATTAAATATACAATTGTATATATTTTTTTAAATATTAAAGTTGAAATATATTCAATATTAATTACTTAAAAAAAAGTCTTATATTAATATGAATTCTACTGACATACAAAAATTAATACATATACACAATTAATATAAAAAAAAATCTAAAATATTAAATTAATTTTAAGAAAATCTATTGTATTAATGCAAATTATATTAGATTAATGTATAAATTACATAAATATTCGTAAGGGCATTTTGGGAACATTATATAACTTTAGAACATTCCCATGAATCATGCAAAACAAACGTGGCTATCCACATATCCTCGAACATCCTAATATACTTTCCTACGAAACAAATGTGGCCATCTCAAGATGCCGGATATCTATAATTTCGGGCATCTAAAATTCCAGGTATCTGAAGATGCCAGACATCTATATTCCCAAAAACAAACGACCCCTTAAATGTTTCAATTTTACCATAGAGGTATCGAAAACTTCGATTAAAAATCACTACTCAATCATTATACTATTGAAATGAGATTTAACATTTAAAAAAATAAAATTAAACTGGTCAAAGCATGTATTTTCGATCAAAAGATTGAGGTTCGAATCTCTCTACCCACATGTTGAACTAAAGAATATATATTTTCATGAGGTAATGTTTTTTTAATGTCTAAGTATCATCACACCTTGTCTAACTAAAAAAATTCAACCATTTCCAATCCAAATAAACTCACTCAACCCTACTCTCAGCGACAAACTTTTAGCGACATATTAACAATAATGTCGCTAAAATACATATATGTCGCTAAAATACATATATGTATTTTCAACGACGTGGCGACCTATATGTCGCTAAAAGTACTTTTCAACGACACGTCATTCACTCTCCTTGTTGCTAAAAGTATTTTCAGTGACGCCGTCAATGAAATGTCGCTGAAAATGTACTTTCAGCGATGCCGTTAATTGACAGTGTCACTGAAGAGATTTTCAGCGACACATAAGTAGTACGCGTCGTTGAAAATCTCAAATTTTACAACCCCAGCTCCAATATTCCTCATTTCGCCATTTTACAAACCCTAGCCCCTCCCATTGCGATTTTGTCTCCCCTCCGTCGCCGTGTCGTCGATTTCAGCGCCTCGTCGTTGCCGTTTGTCTCCTCCCCGTAGCCGGTCGTCGCCCCTCCGTCCCCAATCATCGCCGGTCGTCTCCAATAGCCGCCACGACTAGCCTCGTCGCCGATTGTTGTCGTTCGACCATGGGAAGATTGAGGGTTTTGTTGTTCCCTTTCAATCTTACAAAAAGTAAGCTTCTTCTCCTCCTCGATTGATTTTTTTTTGTCAAAATACCGCTCGATTAAGTTTATAGTTCATATAATTTATCGTTTCAGTTTTGGTTCGTCGTGCCTTGCTCCGTGAGTTTTGTGGCTACTGTCCACCCGTGCTGGCTGCTGAAAACATCACCATCTCGAGGTTTGCTTCAAAATTTTTTTATGTTTTTAACATTTTTTTTTTAGAAATATACATTATGGATCTGAAATTGAAATTAAGTATTGAGGTGTTTGTGTACTGATTATGACGTTAATTGAATGTTTGTTGTATTTTAATGTTGCTGAAGTTGATTTTGATGTAGTTTGTGGGAGTAAAAATGGAATGGAAGAGAGTTGGGTCGAGTGAAGATGTATATAAGGGGGTTGACGTTGAATTCTTTTTTTTGTTGTGAATATTAATTAATATTACAATGAAGTGATGTGAATTATTCGATTCTTATTTGATGCTTTGAATTGTTGGATTTTGTCATAGCACTTAGTTTCGTGATGGACTTTGAAGTGTAGTTTTTGGATATTGATTATCAAGTTTATGAGTTTGAAGTTTATGTTGGATATGAATTCTAAAGTTCTTTATTTTGAATTTTATGTTGGAAATTAATTATGAAGATTACATATATGAATTTGGTGTTCATGTTATGGTGTGATTTATCCAAGTGTATTTACATTTTTTTAAATCGACATTATGGATCTCAATTGAAATTAAGTATTGAGGTGTTTGAGTATTGATTATGACGTCAATTCAATTTTTTGTTGTATTGGGACGTCGATGAAGTTGATTGTTATGTAGTTTGTGAGAATAATAATGGAATGGAAGGGAGTTGAGTCGAGTGAAGATGTATATAAGGGAGTTGACGTTGAATTCTTTTTTTGTTTAAAATGGTGGTATTGAAGTAGGAGTGATTTTTTTTGTTTGATTATGAAGTTTATGAGTTTGAAGTTTGTGTTGGATATGAATTCTGAAGTTTTTTTTTTTTAATATAAATTTTATGTTAGATTTGAATTATAAAGATTATATATATGAATTTGGTGTTTATGTTTTGGTGGGACTTATTTGAATTTTATTTCATGCTTTGATTATGTAGTTTTTGGTGTGACGATATGTCTCGATATCGTTTTTAGTTATAATTCACATTAGTTTTAGTTAAATCAAATTTAGTATTAGGTAATTAACTATAAGTTATATGTTTTTATAGAAAACATTGCTATGGATCGTACTTGGATATCTTTGAAAGATCAGAGATCTAGTCAATATTCTAATGGCGTTAGAAATTTTATTGAAGTCGCTAAGAATTATTTAGATGAAGAAGGAAAAACAAGATGTCCTTGTTCGAATAGTTTAAATGTCCTAAGAAATAATTTGAATGATGTAGAGCGTCATTTATTCAAATATGCCATGTCTCCGACATATAGTAGATGAACATTCCATGGAGAAAAAGTAGATCTTTCTTCATTCTTAAGACCTAGATCAAGGTTTCTTGGAGATACATTTTCAGATTCGGTTAGAAATAATAGACCAGATGGTGGGAATCGTATGGATCAAGTGACAACTATGGTTAATGATAATGAGATGCTCCAAATGATGAATGATTTAAATGATCCAGTGTTTGAAGACATTCCCGGAGAATCCAATGAGCAGTATGAGACTAATAATAGATTTTCTAAAATGTTTCGCAATGTTAACGAAGAGTTGTATCTAGGATGCTCGAAGTTTACATCGTTTAATTTTTTAGTGAAGCTTATGCATACTAAAGTTCTTAATCATTGGAGTGATAAATCATTTGATATGTTACTCCAATTATTGAACGATGTATTTCCAGATGGTGTAAAGCTTCCTAAATCAAATTATGAGGTTAAGAAAAGATTATGTGATCTAGGGATGAGATACGAATCAATTCACGTGTGTAAGTATGATTGTGTTTTATTTTGGAAAGAGTATGCATGCATCTCTTGACAATTGTCGGCAATGTGGAGAGTCGAGGTAAAAACTGAATAAATCAAAAGGAAAAAAAAATTCCCCA